TCCTGTAGGCAGCAGGGCAGGTGTAGGGTAAGTGAAAATGATATCAGGCTTTTCTGCCCTCCCGCCATCAGGATGGATGATGGATCCTCGCGGTCCCGAACGCACGCCTGATGGCGGCACCTGGAGTAGGGTGTGGGCATAGGTAGATGGGATTCACCTGGGCTGAGACTGGGCTTATAAGGGCGGTGTCACGGGACACCAGCAGAAGCAGAACCACAAGAAGAGCAGAGAGCAGAGAAGCAGAGCCCACCAGAGAAGCAGAGCCCACCAGAGAAGGCCGGAGAGTCCAGATAGAGTGAAGACTTGCTGGGGGCTGGCCGGCCCCCAGCCGTGCGCCTGGTAAATCCCAATAAAAGCCTGCAAAAGCCACTGAGGGCTCCCGGACTCCTCCTTCACCTGGTCTGCTCGGGTCATAGAGATCCTGCCCCGTGGCCATCCCACCGTTACAGCAGGTGTGCAGCAAGCTGGGGGGCGACGGCCTTCAGAGTTTGGGGTGGTAAAGGGTAAGTGAATCCATCATGCTTTTACGCCGCTGGCCTCTGTGGCTATCACCTGCGGCTTTGATCACGTTCATGCAGCAGGCGCTTGGGAGCGTGGGCGCAGGGCACGCATGCCTGAGCGCGGACACCTGGAGCAAGGAACGGGCATGCGTAAGTGTGCACACCTGAGCCTGGAGGCCGAGGCTATAAGGGCGGTGTCACTCGGAGACAGGACGGCTGTGGCAGAATGGCTAGGAGAAGACACGAGAGGGAGCCCAAGGAGAAAAAGTAAAGGTTTGCCAGGGGCCTCCCTGCTTTGCCAGCCTGCAGGCTTGCCCCACGGCAAGTGGCGTGGCAAGAGCATGAAAGCCTGAAAAAGCCATTGAAGGCTCCAGGACTCTCCTTTATCCGTGTGCCTGCCTCGAGAGAGGAGCTGCCCTGTGCCTGCTGGCACAACAGGTGGGAAGGGGCGCCGTCTTTCGGGATACTGGGGGTGGGAAGTCTGCAGAGGGGCGGCGTGGTTCCTCCTCCGCAGCCGAAGCTCGCTGTGGTACCTGGGTAGGAAGGGGCTGGATGAGCCCCACCTACCTTCAAACAGAACTGAGAAAAGTGGCCGGCCACACTTCCGCCAGCAGCACGAGAAAGTCCCTCTCTGTTCTAGTTTTTAGACTCGCTTACGTGGCTTGTTACGGAGGTTGCAGCTGAGCTCAGAAAATTATTTAGGGCTCCTCCAATTTAGAGACTCCAAACCGTCACCCCTTTGCAGTAGTCAGAGGAGGGGGTCATGTGCAAGTTTCTGGGGTCAAAGGAAGGAGGAGGGAATCACTGAATCAACTAACTCCAGGGGCCTCCTCCCCCACCATGGCCACAACCCTGGCTGGGTCTGGGCCCTTAGTTCTGCGCCATACATTTTGGGGGCAAGGGAGGTCACAACGTGTCAGACCCCAGACATGGCCCCTTTGGACACTGGACATGGGGCAGCAGACCAGTGGTTTGGTGTGGATGCCAGACTCAGGATCAAAACAAGAATCCTTCTGAGTTTATTAACAGTGCCCCCAAGGAGTTGGTGAGAGAGGGAGGATGGAAAAACTGGAAATAAACAAAGTGGCTAATAGGACATTGCTTTCTTTATGGGGTGAGGCCTGTCAGAGGCAGCTGGGTCCTGGGGTTTTTCTTATCTGCTGTTCCTGATCAGGCCTCCCTGGGGAACCAATCACCCCTGAGACAGGAGAAGCAGATCCCAGCCCTCTGTTGCCAGGCCAGGGGTCAGGAGTGGCTGGTCGCTTTGGTGAAGGCTGCATGGTTTAAGATCACCCAGCACCTTGGAGTCATCCCTCTCCTGCTTCCGGCCAGATAGCACCTGGGCAGCATCAGTGAGCTCAGTCTATGGAAATTAGCTTCAAGACTAATCCTGTGAGATTTGAAGCTACATGCAAGTCTTCCCATGTTCTACCTAGCAGAGGGGAGTGTGAAAGTCCACTGAACGTTGCTTTCCATGCAATCTCAAACAGCCAAACCTCGGGGCTGGTGGGCCCAGTGCTTTCTTCTCAATGAAGCTGGAAAGACATAGTCAGGCTTGATCTGCCAACAGAGCAACTTTCTGGAACCCCTCACTCATCACCCCCCTACCAAAGCACTCTAGAGATCTAAAGATTAAATGACTATGACTGGGGGAGATGGTCCACTCCAGGCTCATTCCTAGCCATAGCCGAAGGCCAGGGCTGATTGCACAATCCAAGTCTGAAACGATCCACACCAGTAAGAAGCTGAGAGGCTTCACTGACGGCATTCTCAGCCTGTGTCTGTTTGTGGGGGAGGTCAGGAACTTCTGAAGTGACTTGGAAGGACAGCAGCTGCTCCTCAGGTCTCTACAGGGCAAAGCCCATGACTGTGTTTGCTCAAGCTGCTGAGAATTGTTTTTAGTGATTTTTTTTCTGATTTTAAAAAAAAGCCAACATCTGGAAACAACCCAAATGTCCAAAAACAGTAGAATAGATCACTAGTTCTGTGGTGGAATACTATACAGCAATGATGATTAATGGATGGCTGCTTTGTGCAGGAAAAAAAAAATGAATGTTGACCATAAAAGAGAAGACTCAAAAGGGGATATAGAGCATGATTCCACTTATATAAAGTCCAGTGACAGGCAAACCATACTGTTTAGAGCGGCATACATGAATGGTTAAAGACCAAGAAATGATGGGGGGACAAAAGGGGTTGGAAAGAGGTGTCTGGTGTACTGGCTTATATTTCTTGATTTGGGCTGGCATTCGCTTTGTAATCGTCTATTAAATGGTACACTTGTATTTTAGGCACTTTTCAGCATGCATATTTCATAATAGAATAATTTTTAAGTTTTGCTAAAGATAATTTATACCTGTGATAATCTTTGCCTTTTACCAAACGGAAAATCAAACAGAATATTCATTGAAAAATAACCAACCATCATTGGAAAGAAATTAGATTGACCTAAATAAATGAAAAGGCATCCCATGTACATGGATAAGAACATTGGATAGTACTAAGAGAGCACTGTTCACTCAGTTTATAGATTTAATAAAATCCCAGCGACTTTTTTTTCCAGAAATGGCAAAGTTGATTCTCAAATTGATACAGATCTACAAGGGACTCCAAACAGCCAAAACAATATTGAGAAACAATGTTGGAGCATTCACACTTCCCAAATTCAAAACCTAATACACAGCTACATGAAGTAGCCTTAACAGTGTGATGCTGGCAAGAAAGCAAGTTTAGTGTGAGAAGCTTAGGTTAGGCAGTGGTTTCTTAACTAGGACACAAGCACAGTAACCAAAGGGGTAAACAGATAAATAGGACATTGCCAAAATTAAAACATTCATGCCCCAAGTATACTATCAAGAAAGTTAAAGAACAACCCATAGAATGGGAGAAAACAATTGTGAGTCAGCTCTCTGATGAGAATCTAGTATCCAGAATATATACATGTATGTAAACATAAATTCTTGCCTCTCAGTAACAAAAACAGCTCAATTTAAAAACAGGCATGGGAACTGAGGACACGTTCTTCACATCCAAATGGCCTATAAGTCATGAAAAGATGCTCTGGATCGTTATGAGCAAGAGAAATGCAAATCAAGACCCACTTCTACGATGGCTAACATTTTCAGAAAGATAAAAAGTGTGAGGAGCGTTGGTGAAATTGGGAACCTTGTACGATGCTGCAGGAATCAGAAAAACCGACTGGCAGTTCCTCCAAAAGTTAAAGTAGCCATATGACCCAGCAGATAACACCCAAGAGGGCTGAAAAGCCAAGTCCACACACGAAACTTTGGACATGATGGTCGGTAGAGGTGTTATTCACAAAAGCCAGAGAGGTGGAACAGGCCCAAAGCCCCTAAGGTCTGACACAGGCTGCAGTGTGGCTGCGCCTGGAAAACGCGCCCATGCCACCTGCTGTCCCTGCCACCGCGTGACCTGTCCCACGGGGCACACCCCAGACGCAAGGCAGACTCGGGGTCGTTTGGAGAAATGGGAAGGGCTGCAACTGGGTTTGTTTTTGGAGAAATGCCAACGCCGGGGCTGAGCGATGCCGGCTGCACGCGCTTGGGAATATGCTAAAAGCTGAGTTGTCCACTTCACAGGATCAGCTGTCGGGCAGGTGAACTGTATCTCAATTTTAAAAATACGAAATTTCCAAAAGGGGAGAAAACGCTATAAATTGGAATGGAATGTTTCGTTTTTAAAAACCACACTTGATCAGCTGAAACTTTAAAAACAGGATGCTCCGGTCAGAAAACTGGAGCCAGACCTCTCCCTCCCGAGGAAACCACCGCGGGCCGCGGCACCTCGGCACCTGCTTGCGCAAGGCGGGAGGATTACCAAACCCTAGGGGGTTCTGTTACCTTTGGAAAGAATGCCCCTCACGCAAGTGCACACTCACAAGTGCGCACACACAAGTGCACACTCACAAGTGCGCACTCACAAGTGCACACACACAAGTGCACCCTCAAAAGAGCACCCACACAAGTGCACCCTCAAAAGAGCACCCACACAAGTGCGCACACACGCACACGCGCGCGCACAAGCCGGCTGGGCGCAAAGCAGGTCACACCAGCCCTGAAGACGCGGGTGGCGCCTCCCGGGACGGGATGTCCCGTCCAGCTGGCCAGGGGGGCAGCCCTGGGGGGGCGGGGCGAAGAGGCGGCGCGGGGGCGGGGCCTCGGGGAAGGTGGGGCGCGGGCGGGGCGGGGCGGGGCTCCAGGGGCGGGGCGCTGGGGCGGGGACTCGCCACGGCCGGCCGCGGGCAGGGGGCGCGGAGGCGCAGGGCGGGCGGGGCGGGGCCGGGCGGGGCGAGGGGCGCAGAGGCGGGGCCGGGGCGGGGCCGGGGCTCGCGGGGGGCGTGGAGGCCGCAGGGCGGGGCGCCGAGAGCGGCCCGGAGCAGGGGCGGGGCGCGGGGCCGCGGCCCTGCGGGGCCGGGAGGGGCCGACGCGGGCGGGGCGGGCGGCGGGACGCGAACCGCGGGCGGGCGGGCGGGCGGGCGCGCAGACGGCGGCTCGGGCGGCCACACCGCGTCCTCGCGCCCCGCCGGCCGGCCCCGCCGACCATGCCGCCGCCCGCGCCGCCCACCGACCTGGTGCCGTCGGAGCGCGCCGTGGTGCTGCTGTCGTGCGCGCTGTCCGCGCTGGGCTCCGGCCTGCTGGTGGCCACGCACGCCCTGTGGCCCGACCTGCGCAGCCGGGCGCGGCGCCTGCTGCTCTTCCTGTCGCTGGCCGACCTGCTCTCCGCCGCCTCCTACTTCTACGGGGTGCTGCGGGACTTCGCCGACTCCTCGTGGGACTGCGTGCTGCAGGGCGCCCTGTCCACCTTCGCCAACACCAGCTCCTTCTTCTGGACCGTGGCCATCGCGCTCTACCTGTACCTCAGCATCGTCCGCGCCGCGCAGGGCCCGAGGGCCAGCCACCTGCTCTGGGCCTTCCACATCGTCAGGTGGGTGGCACCGCACTGCTTTCCCTCTGGCCCGACGCCCACCTGGGTCCTGTGGGCTGCCCCTGTGGCCCTGGAGCCCTCTGGTGTCCTCTCTTGTTTGGCCCCCTGGCCGGCCGCCCAGCGGGCAGTGTGTCTCATGCCCTGGGCAGCCCTGGGGCAGCGGGCAGTGTGTCTCATGCCCTGGGCAGCCCTGGGGCAGCCCTGGCATCCTCCATGCCAGGCTTACCTGGGAGGTGAACTTGCGCCAAGCATCACCCCAGAGGCGTCCCTTTGTGCCTGCCCCAACCCAGGTCTGCCAGAGAGGTGGGCACGTGGGCGGCAGAGCTCCCCCTGAGAGGTCAGCCCTGGTAACTCAGAAGCGGCTGGAGAGCCGGGGCGGACTTCTCTCTCCCTGGTCTCCACTTCCTTGGGTCCTGCCCATCTCCGTGTAGCCCCTGGGCACACGCCCTGGCCCTCAGCCTGGGAGATGAGCTAGGTGGTGCCCCAGCTGGAGACCAGGGCAGCGTCCGGTCCCACGGCCGCCCCACTCAGTGTGGTAGGTGCGGTCCACTTGGAGCCACCTGTCCATCCGGCCCTTCCTGCCCAGGGTATAGGCCTCTGCTGTGAAGTCCACGAAGGACGGCCTTTACTTTGTCTCTGGTGGCCTCTGAACTTCAGATCAGTCTCTTGTTTCTGTGCTAGATGGCCTTTACTTTCCTTCTCTAGTCCAGCAACTCTGAGGTTGAGGCCAGAGGGAGAGGGGCCCCAGCTGCCGGGAATCTCGGGCAGTAGAGGAAGCCACGGCCTTGCCTGCCCTGGCCTTGAAGCCCCTCAGCCAGTCGCCCTCCGCTGGGGAGGGCTGGCCCCTTCCTGGCGTCATTTCGAGAACCCACAGTTGTGCTGAGCCCCAGACAGGGATCCTACAGGCCTGGTCCTTTCCTTCCTCCCCAAGATAGGAGCGCGGAATACCACCCTAATTATAGGTCCTCTCTGCGACATGCTTGAGTGCTTTCCAAAGGGCTGAGGACAGTCAGCACTTTGCTAGACAGGTCACCTGGGTGTCACAACAGTGAGGTCACAGGCCTGCAAGAGCCGCTTGACCTCCAGGTCTCCAAGCTGCTGGGTGGACGCCAGCTGGTCCCTGGAGACTAACAGGCCTGCTTCTCAGCTGTTCAAGTCCAGTGCTTTGCCAGGGGCCATTCAAACAGTGCTCCAGGCGCCACAGAGCCCACAGGGTACACCTCGGGCGCCTCACTGCCCCTGGCAGCCGCCCACCTGACCACTGAGTCCACCCCAGAGACCAGGTCCTTAGTTCTTGGCCAGCTGGTTGGGTGTGGGTGACTTGTCTGTCCGGCCCGCTTACATCTGAGGAGCCCAGGACTGGACCTGTCTTTGCAAGAATCTCTTCCTCCTCTGTCTAGAATAAATGCTGAATACAATATCTTTGATCAGTGATAGAGAATCTGCTACAGCTTCTATGGATGAGACTTACTTCCTTTTCTGGTCCAGAGGTGTTTTCTGTGATGCTTAGGAAAATCTGGATCTCCTTCTGGCCATGGAAAGAAGCAGATTGTTCATCCTGTCCATCACAGGTCTCCACCTAGTCCTTCCAGAAAATGATGCAGATCCAGCATGAACGAGTTTGACGGTTGTAGTCCATAGGGCTCCCTTTCGGAAGCCTTGCCAGTCTAGCAGAATTGGTTAAACCCGTCTGGCAGGCTCACTTATTGACCTAGATCCTCCCAGACGATGGCAATGACCTTGCTAAGGACTCTCCAACACCTTTCGTGTAGTGTTTATTTTCGCTGAAGGGCCTGTTGGCACTGGAAGTTCAGCTCCAGGCATGCAGCCTTCCAGGCTACTGGAAATCAGTCCTCTGCAGACCTCCCAGTGTGGGGCAGTGTTTTAAAATGTGACAACACTGTTGGAAGCACTGTTCTGTAAAGAGCTTTTATGGCTGGACTTTTTTTGTTTAAATCTGCAAATGTCCTGGTAAATGGACTGAGGGAATTGTGAGACAGAATAGGAAAAGCACTGGATCTGTGTATATGAGAGAAAGCTTAGCTCCATTCATACTCAAAACAACATAAATGATAATAATGAGCTACCATTTTCTCATCCAACGAGAAGAAAAATGTAGCCAGACAGGATACTAACCCGATAAATGCCTTGGAAACTGGGATTTTCCTGCATTGTTATTGGCAAAGTGAGTTGGAATAATCCACAAAGAAATTGTTTGTTTCATGCCCCTTGATCCAGTAACCCGGCTTATCCGTGATAACCCACATGCCTGCACGCTGCACACACGGGGAGTTTGCTCAGCCCCATTCTCTTGGGGGAAACTTAGAAACTATCTCAATGCCCAGAATGTAGAGAAACCATGAACAGACTGCACCCCTGGGAAATGTTTTGCAGCTAGAAACTACCGAGTGTGAACTCTAAAAGTCAGACATTTTTTAATGGATCTGTACATTGTTAAGTGAAAAAAAGAATCTAGAAAACTGAATACAAGATAGAATCTTGCATGTAACCTTCCCAGAGAGCCCCCGGAAAGCCCCCCAGGGCACACTACCTGACCAGTTCCCTTTACAGATAGACCTCATCCCACACCCCCCCATCACTGCAGAAGGAGGACCCTCAACTTATCTTCAGGGGAATTGCGTCTGGCTCCTGAGATCTGGCCAAGGACTGGCCATGGCCTCAGCTCCTGCATCCGTACCCCAGGGCGCCCCCTGCTCTGCCTGCCTGGCTGATGGGGCACCAAACCCAGGGCAGGAGGGAGGCTGGGGTCAGACCACCAGTCAGCACTACTTTTCCCGTCCCAGATTGCCTCCCAGCCTTGATGACGATATTTTTTTTTTTTTAAGATTTATTCATTTGTTTACACAAGCACTGGGTACAGTCAGAAGCGCAAGAAGGCGAGAGAACCCACCAGAGCCAGAGCAGGGAGCAGAACAGGCAGACAGACAAAACACACTGCTGAGGGGAGCAGCGGGCGGCAGGAGAGGTCTGCATGCCAAGTGGGACCCTTGCCCGGCAGCCGGGGATCAAGCCAGCGCTGCAGAGGCCGCGGGCAGCCTCGCAACCCAGCGCTCAACCGCTGCGCCACCGGGGAGGCCTGATGATAATTTTTTTTTAATGGAGACATAACTTGGCAAGCATGTATTTAGAACTCTCCAGATTCCCCCCACTGTTCACATTTTGCTGTGTTAGCTTAATTGCTCCAATTATTTTTTCCACAAGCATCAAAGAAAGTTGCTGCCCAGATGTCCCCGAACCCTAAATCCTTTTGTGTGGATTCCCCAAAGAGAGACAAGGTCAGTCTCTCATGGGGCCACATACAGCTCCCCAAAGCTGGCGAGAACCCCCCACCAGCGCTGTTATCCGTCTGTGGACTTTATGGAGGTTGTGTAAGTCCCAGGAGCAAAGGAAAGTCTCAGCTGACATGTCGGCTTCATTTTCCAGTCTCTGTATTCTCCTACCATCTGGAACATTCTTCCATCTTCTTGGTGCTTCCTGACATTGACGTTGAAGGACCCAGGTCTGTTGTGGGATGGATTCAGCCTCCCGCCGACCAGCCGTCCAGCCCCTCTTCCCCTTGCTTCCCCAGGGCGGTCGCCAGCCGGTCTGTGTTGGTCTGGTGTGTGGCGGTGGTTGGTGGCTGGGTCAAGGTGTTATCTGCCCATTCACCCACTCAGGTGACTGTTTTCCTTTTGTGATTAACAAATATCTCACCAGGGGCTGTTTGTAAAACCCTCTACCCCTCAGACTTACCCCCAAGGGTTTGGAGCCTGATAGCATTTGGAAGGGGAACACCTCGTTCACTGTTGCCTTTTTTTTTTTTTTAAGTATTGTCAGTTAGAACGTAAGGTGAAGACCTTCATGCTTCCTGACAATTTTTTTTTTAAAGATTTGTTTATTTATTTATACAAGCACTGGGTACAGTCAGAAGCGCGGGAGGGTGAGAGAATTCACCAGAGCCAGAGCGGGGAGCAGAGCAGGCAGAAGGACCGAAGTACACTGCTGAGGGGAGCAGCGGGCGGCAGGAGAGGTCTGCGCGCCATGGGGGACCCTCCTCCGGTGGCCGGGGAGCAGCCGGGGATCGAACCGGCGCTGCAGAGGCTGCAGGCAGCTTTCCAACCCAGAGCACAACCGCTGCGCCACTGGGGAGGCCCACCTTTTTTTTAAAGATTTATTTATGTATGCATACAAGAGCTGGGGCATGGGCCAGAGATGCGGGGAGTGAGAGGATTCACCAGAGACAGAGTGGGGAGCAGAACAGACAGACCGACTGAAATACACTGCTGAGGGGAGCAGCGGGCGAGACAGGAGTGGTCTGTTGTGCCTTGTGGGCAGCTCCCTGGCTGGCCGGGGATCGAACTCGTGCTGCAGAGGCTGCGGGTTGCTTCATAGTGCGGTGCTTAACCCCTTGTGCCACCAGGGAGACCCGACTGTTGCCTTTTTAAGGCTGGAGAGAGTGTTCTGGGAAGCCCCGTATAGAGAAGTCTCATGTCTGACTCTGAGGCCGCCGTACACACCTCTGGATTTGACGCTGGTGTGACTAGGTATGTGGGGTCGCTTCCACTAAGATATGTCAAGTTGGTGTGAAACATCTCGTCCCCTGCAGAAGGCGACCTGCCTTTCAAAAAGCTGTCAGCCCCCTCCCCTCCCGAGGCCGTGGGCCCCTAGAAAGGAGATGGCCAGTAGCTGCCCCTGCCTGCAGGACCCAGGCTTGGGGGCAGGGGGAAGCTCAGGTGGTGGGGGATGCCCCATCCCCCAGGTCAGAGGTGAGGTTCTGGCCCAGCTGGCTGCCTCAAGCCATCTTACCCTGTCTTCTGCTCTGTGGAGGCAGGGTGGCTGTGGGCTGACCCATGGCAGGGCAGTTAGTTCCCCGTGTTCCCCACTCTAGAGTTAGCTGGGAGGTTCCTGAGGAGGAAAGAAGCTACGGCACCCACACCCCAGTTCACTGCAACCTCCTGCCATGGGAAGTGGGAGGTTCCAACCCAGAAAAGAGGAAATGT